TGACAAATACCAAAGAGAAGAAGAATCAGATGCTCAGCAAAAGGTTACAATTTTTTCTGTTTGCCCTGTTATGTTTTGTCAAATGCTGCAATTAGGAGCTAAAGTTAAAATTTTAATTTTTTTTTTTTTTTTTTGGGGTCAAATATAGGCTTAATTTGGGTTTCCAATGACAAGAAAAAAAAAAGTAAAAGATCTTTTAGAAAAAAGTAAAAGATTTTTTTAATCTCGGAAAACCCTAGTTTATGCAATTTTTTTCCTTTACAAGTTGTAAACTTTGGTTTTTGTCTTCAATTTTACTTCTCAGTTTTAGAACTGCTTCTAAAATATTGACATTTAAAATTAGTAACAACCGAATGACTTCTTGGCTGTTTATTTATTTATTTATTTTTGTCAAATCTAGGCTTAGATTGGGTTTCCAATAACAAATAATGAAAAAAAGGCAAAAGATCTTTGGCAAAAAGTAAATTTTTTAATTTATTTTATTATCATCTCAGAGAACCTAGTTTGTATTTTTTTTTTTCCAGTTATATTTGGGCTTTGTATTCAATTTAATTCTTATTCTCAATCTTGGAACTGTTTCTGAGATGCTGAAATTTAAAATCAGTAAAACGTGAAAGAATTTTTGTTTGTTTATTTTTGTTTCTTTGAATTTTTCAAATCTAGGCTTAATTTGGGTTTTCAATGATAAGAAATGGAGAAAGGTAGAAGATCTTTTCCATGAGTATTTAACAATTAAGAGAAAACCAATTTTAGTCTAAATGTTAGAAATTGAGCTCGATGAAGTGATTTTCTATTTCATATATACAAAAAGGATATTAAAAGAAGTCTACAGGTTATTAGGCAATCTTATTTTTGTTTCATACTCTACTGATTTTTTTATTTTACCTATGTAGCTTTCACTTATTTACTTCATTTATTTTGTAAATATTTAAAAAATATATATATTTTTTTGTTGCGAATTATGAACAAATCTTAAACATGTCCAACATGTTTCTTCTCGTTGTTTTTCAAAATAGTATGAAATTAACAAAAAATAGTTTTTTTTATGTGAATTGTGTATTTCTAATATATGTGAATTTCAATTTCTGTTTATTGGGCATCCATATTTGTCAGCATTTATTATTGTTGATATTAAAGTTGTTTCTTCTATTTGATGGTTGATGTTGAACAGCAGTACTTCTCTCATTCTTGTATTTCTCTTAACCTCTGAATTGTTAAACTCTTGAACCCCCTTTCTCTTAACTTCTCAATTGGTAGTCTCTTCAAACCCTGTGCATTACTACTCTAATTTCTCTCTTGTCTTACAGCTCTTGCATTTGCTTTTCCTGCCTGAATTTAGAATTTTACCACTTATAAGTTTAGTGTTAACATCTTGCTTCATATATATATTTTTTCAATAATAATGTGAGAAAACAATATTTCTTGTGAACACGTAATCCTATCCGAGCGCTGTGTGGTCATTTAAGGAATGTTCGTCTATTTGACTTTATATTTTCAACTTAGGTTTTATTACTATCTATAAATAGAATATGTCATCAACTAAGAATTTTTATGTATAAAATATGCAATCCATACTGTTCGAACACATTCCTATCAGGCTTTATGTCGTCATTTAAGGGATTATTTGCATTGTTCGACTTTATTATAGAACACAACTAAGAATTTTTATATAAAATATGCTATAAATACGGTTTGAAGAATGCATATTACTTCACTTGATGTGCTCATAGGACTTTGAAGTAGGTTCTTCAAATGTTCATAAAAATAAGTAAAGAATTTTATGATGTACCAACTGCCTTTTGTTTCAGAGAATCACTTTTGTGGGCTACAAAATAATCCTAAAACCAAAAGCATTTACTTGAGCTATCAGGTTTTCTTGATAAAATTGCGGTTTTAACATGCAATATGGCTTATATTCAGTCAACACAGTTTTTTTTTTTTTTTACATAGATTTAGTAAGATAAATTGTGGGTCCAAACTTCCAATTGCTAATTCATTCTGTACTTTTAAGCTTGGAGTTTCCAAGAGACTTTGGACTTCTAAAATAAAGAGTAGAGTAAGGTACAGAAGGCTGTAACTTAATAGAAATCTATCCCAATTGGCTAATTTTGTTTTGAGCTGACTTTATTTCCTGTTATGTAATTCTTATACGAGTTGTCCTTGATAAAACTGCAGGGTGAGAAATGGATACCGGAGGTAATTCCTTACCATCTGGAGCAGATGGAAAGAAGAGAAAAGTGTCCTACTACTACGATCCAGAGGTTGGAAATTATTACTATGGGCAATTTCACCCAATGAAGCCACACAGGATGAGGATTACTCATACTCTCCTCGTGCATTATGGATTACTCCAAAATATGACTGTTTTGAGGCCAAATCCTGCTCGAGAGAGAGATATTTGCAGGTTTCATGCAGATGATTATGTCAAGTTCTTGAAAACGGTCACCCCAGAGACACAGCAGGATTACATGATGCAATTGAGGAGATTTAATGTTGGTGATGACTGCCCTGTATTTCATGGTCTTTACTCCTTCTGTCAAACTTATGCCGGAGGTTCTATTGGTGGAGCGGTCAAGTTAAACCATAAACAGTGCGACATTGCAATAAATTGGGCTGGTGGATTGCACCATGCAAAGAAATGTGAGGCTTCCGGTTTCTGCTATGTGAATGACATTGTGCTTGCAATTTTGGAACTCCTCAAATATCACGAGGTTGGTCCACTCGATTCCTGTTTTAATCATTATACTTAAAGGTTGTGACTTAATTTTGCTTCCTTAAGTATAATGTGTCTTCTTGCTTTTCTTGAATTATGTACTATATATAAATTCAAATGTAACATGGAATGAAATTCATAAATAAAGGAATCTGGTTGTTGTTTGAGGTGTACTGAGGAGTATCACATCACAACAACTAAATAAGTTTTATCACTATTTACTAATTTTTAGGATATGGCTATCGACCAAACTCTCTGCTTGGACATCCAAAACACTCCTTATGGAAAATTTCCTTGCTTTGTTAGAATGCTAATATTATGGCACTTAATGGAGAACTCAATTTCGTAATCAAAATTTGACTTTTTCCTTTACCATGCAGCGTGTTTTATACGTGGATATTGATATTCATCATGGAGATGGCGTTGAGGAAGCTTTTTATATTACCGATAGGGTCATGACTGTATCATTTCATAAATATGGAGAATACTTCCCTGGTACAGGAAACATAGAGGATATTGGATTTGAGAATGGAAAATATTATGCTGTTAATGTTCCATTAGATGATGGAATTGATGACGAAAGCTATCAGTCCTTGTTTAAGCCTATAATGAGCAAGGTAATGGAAGTTTTTAGGCCTGAAGCAGTGGTCTTACAATGTGGAGCCGATTCCCTATCTGGAGATAAATTAGGTTGCTTCAATCTCTCAGTTAAAGGTCATGCAGAATGTGTCAGATTTATGAGGTCTTTTGACGTGCCTCTTCTTCTGTTGGGTGGAGGTGGATACACGATACGCAATGTTGCTTGTTGCTGGTGCTATGAGGTATACCGTTCATACGCTATTTTCAATGCAATATATTAATGTCAGATGAGGTATCCTATGCTGTTTTTGAGATTTGAAGTCTTTTATTATTTTTTTTTATGCAATTAACAAATAACATAATGATAAAACTAAAAGTTGATAAAAAAATAACAGCATACGATCATTCAACATTTTATGTTTCTTATTTTATGAGCAATACAAAAATCTTTATTCCACCTTTAGCTCACAAACCCCACTCAAGAAGAGAAACAAAGATTTTATTTTATTTTTTTTCTTTTTCAGTATGCATAGTTTTCATACGCTTCTGAGATCTCGAAAAATATGAATGTTTCAGTTCCATTTCTATAAATAACTGTTTCGATAATGGTGTGAACTCAATTTCTTTGGTCAGTCATATTCTCACCATTTCATGATATAGAGGTTCTTTGATAGAATTTCATTATTTTCTTGAGCAGACAGGAGTGGCACTTGGGACTGAGATTGACAATATGCTGCCACCTAATGAATATATTGAGTATTTCGGACCGGACTACACTCTTCATGCTCCAACATGTAACATGGAAAATAAGAATTCTTGTGAATCCTTGAATAAAATTAGAGAAAAGATCCTTGATAATCTCTCGAAACTTCAGCATGCACCAAGCGTACAGTTCCAAGAACGACCTCCTGACACTGAACTTCCTCAGGTTCGTAATTGCAACTGTTTACTTAAAGTATTATAAGAACCAGATTTCCGTTGAATATATATCCTTCATGTTAAGTATTTAGATATCTGAAAATAACAGATTCTGGTTATAAGTTTGACGATATCTTCTTAATCTAAGTGTTTTCTTTTAAATGGATTCTGTCCTTCCATAAATGTGCAGCTCTCATAGTATCATTTTTATTTATCTTCATAATCAGCAAGTTTTTCCCTGAAATGAGTTTCATTCTTTTCTATCCGTTTGTCAGCTTTTTTTTACTAAATTGGATATCGTCATTTCAAGATTGTAGATCTCCATACTACTATCATTCAACTTCATTATCTTCTTAGTCTGTTAATAAATCATCAGTTCTCAGTAATTTTTTTGCCGTCTTGCATACCATTCTTTGTTGTTAAATAAGTTGGTTGTTACCCTTAACAAAGAAATTCCTAGGAAAGATGTCACTGTAAAATTTGTGGATTTGATCGCAAATTTAAAATGATTCAATAACTAAATCTCTTAAAACAGTAAATATTCCTGTTTGCACACTATATTCTTGTTTCATTTTCAGGAGGTCGAGTTTTTAAAATGCTTGGACTAGTGATTTATATAATTTTAGGGAAAATGGAATGTGTAATGAAGTGGGCTTCGTTTATGCTTCAGGCGGATGAAGATGAAGATGATAAAATGGAAGAAAAAGATCCTGATTCTGATGTTTATGTTGAGAGTGAAAGGTATATTTTCTATTTGATAAAATGGAAGAAAAAGATCCTGATTCTGATGCTTATTGTGTGCTTGCTGCAATTCTATGCCTAACAGAGTGAGGATGGAATCTGTTGAACCTGAAGAGAACGATAAGGTATGTCTTGTTCCTTCTCTCTCTCTCTCTTCCCCAAGCACCCCCTTCTTAATTTTTTACTGAAAGTAGCTAATTTCCTTATCAAATGACCATTGCGAAAGGATACATGTCTAAAAAATTATAATCACCAAATAAATTCGAGGAAAGAATTGTCTATAGTTGTTTTCTGATGACTTTATTGAAAAACAAACTTCTACTTTTCTAACAGTTTGATGTTTGGATACTTAATGTGTGTGTGGGGGTGGAGGAGGAAGGGGGCATCCCTCCATTCTCTGTACCCCTTAACTATTGAGATTTTAACCAACAATTATGAGTAGGTGTATAATGTTGAAAATTTACTTAACATGCACAGTTGAGTTTAAACAAAACTTTCAATTTCCACCCTGGATCTTGTTTGGGCTTAGAGAGAAACTATGATAAAGAATTATACCTTTAATGAATTCTTTGAAGAACAACTTTGATTTGCAATTCACAACAGTCCAATTATCCGGTCTCCGATGAAAATTCACACGGAGAACAAGATTGAGAGAATTAGGGTTTTCTTATCTTGTTCTAGCAATATTAATGAGTTGTGTTTTGAATTTTCAAATCCTAGCAACTTATTAATAAAAGTCAAAGTGGGATTACCTCGTCTATTGAACTTAACTCGGTTCAATATTTAATTATAAGAAAGATGAACAACCTCACAAAAATGAGATAAAATTCACAAAAATTCTTATTCAATTCAATAATCCGCCTCAAAGGGCTTACAGTGCTTTAAATAGTAAAACCCTAACAAAATTCGGAAAATAAATACTAAAAATAAAAAACGATATTTTTCCATAAATGAAAAAATTCAAGATTTTGATTAAATGGAAACTCTTAATATTCAGGATCATCCTCCAACAAACGGAATCCAAATTCGAATTTTATTGAATGAGATATTACAAAAATAAAAATTACCATAAACGGCAAAAACGCTTAATCGAGAGCATAAACGACGGTTTCTGCCTGAAATCCAACGTACGTCATGGCCAAAGGCCATGAGTTGTGATCATTGGCCCGTTTCCAATCAAATTAGACTATCAATTCATCAAAAAAGGACAAACTCGAAGTTATCATGAAATCATTATTTTGCTTTGCGATCCCACTTCATCATAAATTTTAACTCCTTATGCACTTCTTCATTAATTCAATTAGTTAAATTTGACCAATGAATTAATTAATCCAATTAATAAATTCGAACTCATTAACAAGCAACCAAATTAATTAATTCTCCAAAAAATTTTAATTAATTAATTGGTTAATCTCGTTCTTCTACTTTTTCTTTTGTGTGTAATCCATTAGGTTCACAATCATGATGTCAAACGATCCGAATTATTATTTTGATCTAATCAAAATTGAAAAATTAAAATACTCTTTTTTAATTTATCACAATTTCACATACTTTATAATTGTAGACATTATCGAGATTTATTTTTTTTATTGTTATTGGGCTTGCCCATCAAGATTTATTTTTATTTTGGATTTTATTGTATACGTTTTTTTATTATCGAGCTTGTAGTAGTGAGTTGGCTCAAATCCTTCACTAGTAAGTTAGATTTTTCCTATTTATTGGATTTTTCATTGTAGTTGGAACAATTAATGAATTGATAAAATTTTGGACGACGGTTACCAACATTTTCTCCTTTTCTCCTGATTTCTTTTCTTCGTCTGCCAACTACTTCCTCTATTCTTCTTCTTTTATTTTCTTCTACTGCTTATAAGTTCATAATTTGGTTATATGTTGAATGTTTTGAACTAATTCTACATCAAATTTGGTATCATGGCTAAACCTCGATTCTGTCATTCTCTTGCATCCCAGAACTTGCATCTCCAAGTATCATCATCTTCAAACTCCATTCCCTGCTACAATACTCAGTCCACTACACAACCACATCAATCGCCTATTTTTCGTGTCACTGCTGTCCATCTACATCTAGTTCCGACAACACATCAAATCACCAGATTCTGGTGCTCCAACCACCGCTACCATCGATAACTACTTGTTAAAAAAAACTAACACAACCTATTTTCACAAACAATAACCGTCGACAATCAATAGACCCAACAACAGCAAAACACCGCCCAAACTGCAAATCGACCCGTTGCCTTCTCCGTTTCGAGCATTTTGATGCTAGCAGTATCGACACACCAGCAGACCCACAAGAAGTCCACAACCGCTCTATCTAAAATTACCATAGTCGACAAACACCCAGTCACCCACTCCTACGTCACCAACACAGCTGTTACATATTCTCTAGTTTGGTATTTTTGGGCCTCAGTTGTGGCATGTTTATTCCTAAATAGTGGGTAACTTGATTGGTACTTTGGGCCTCGATTTGTGCCCCTATTTTTGTAGTTTGCTTTTAGTTTTAAAAAAAGAAGTGTGAAAAAAGAAGTATTCTCTAACATTTTTTAGGTACCTCTCTTGGACCTGCTAATCGGTTCAGTTATTTCAACGAACACAATGGGAGCTACTGTTTCTTTGTCTTTGGTGCTCAGTTATTTTGTACTCAGTTACTTCGACGAACAAAAATGGGAGCTACTATTTCTTATCCTTAGTTTACATTAGTGTTTCGTTCGAAAATTGTATCAATTAAACTTTTGTGCTGCTGTTATTCTAATCTTTACCCACAATTCACATCCCTAAATCCCTAACCTTGTTTTATTCCAACTTTTATCTTACTTATTTTATGTGATCAAGATACTGATTAATATTTGACCCTTGCTCTCTATTATTTTACATAGATCAGCGGTATTAGCTTGCCATATTTGGATTTACATAATCCAAAAATAAATTAAATTTAAATTTAAATTTAAATGCTCAGGTTTCAGTTTTAAAATGAGTTATTTATTGATCTCTCCAAACACTTCATTTAGCTGGTACTACGTTACATGCAATTGTATAGTGGTTGTCTTGTCATCATCATTAAGATACTCGGTCTTCTCCTTGCCACGATGAGCGTTTCTTTAGAAACATTAAACTGGATTTCCGACAACATGTTAGGCACAACCGTAGGGACGAACATCACGTTCGGGGACGGGAGCGAGAACATCATCGTCATGATACTCAATCTCCTCCTCGTCACGATGAACGTTTCTTTAGAAACATTAAACTGGATGCCCCAACCTTTGATGGTTACTTAGAACCTAGGGTATTTACTTGATGGGTTAGAGATATAGACTATTTCTTTGCCTGGTATGGGGTCCCGAAAGATCGGAGAGTTCTTTTTGCTAGTCTGAAATTAATGGTACTGTTCAACTCTTTTGGAAAAATGTTGAGGAGCTCCTTGAGAGACGCCGTGCTCTCCCTGTTGGGAGTTGGGATGAAATGAAGCGTCGACTTCAAGAGAAGTACTTATCCCAATCATATAAGGGTAATTTATTGGATCAATGGAATGCTCTTACGCATGGCAATCGACCAATAATTGAGTACGTCACTCAGTTTGATGAATTTCGAATGAGATATCATGTCATTAAGGATGAAGTCATGACCTTAATTAGGTTTAGGTAAGGCCTCAGAGATGATCTTAAACGTGAGCTTGTCCTTCAGGGTCTTACTACTCTTAACTTTGCTTATTTTTTTGTCCAAGACTGTGAGTTAGTTACTAGGGTTACGTATAGAAATCGTGGTAACAACCGTTCCTCCATCTCTTCAGCGCCCAATGCTCCCCTAAGTCTATCCTAGGGCATCTCCCCTCTAAGGTTCCTCTTGTGGTGGAAAAATAAAGGTAAAGGTCCTGAAGTTCTAAGGACGTCCTCCCGCTTGCAATGTTTTAACTATAAGGGTTTCGATCACATTTTCTCTAATAGTCCTAGTAGAGCCCTAGTTATGGAGGAGCGCGAGGGTGTGGTGGATTACCCATTGGAAGATCAAGTTTAAGAGCCTAAATTTGAAGAGTTTGAGGACTTAGATAATAATGAAGATACCTTCTTAGGTTGTATTCGGACCCTCTCCATGGATCTAGGGTCATGACCCCTTATTCTCAACACGTCTAGATTCGGTGTTGTATGTTGTACCCTAACTCAACCCCAAAATGTTGATGATTGGCATCATTAAGGTCAATAATAAGGGTTGTAAAGTCATTATGGATAGTTGTAGTTGCATTATTGTAGTTTCGATGGCTACTGTATCCCCTCTTGGGTTGAAACAAGTTCCTCACCCTCAGTCATATAGTGTCTCTTAGGTTGATACTTCCTCGATAGCTATAAAAGAACGTTGTCTAGTACCTATTCAGTTTCTCGAATATAAGGATCATAAATGGTGTGATGTCATTTCAATGGATGTCGGTCACATCATTTGACCATTGTTGTTCAATTTAGATGTAACCATTTATGGTCGATCCAATTCATGTTCCTTTGTGTTTAATAGAAAGAAGATTCACCTTATCCCACTATTCCCGAAACCTGTTGGCTCGCATTTTTTTCCGATACAAGAGAGCGTGTTTATTATCATGTCTAAGAACATATACAAAAGAAATTGAACAAGTCAACTAAAATGTTTATAAACACGAGCCAAAAATAGGCTAAGATTACCCACACTAGTACGGAATTGAGCAAGTCAACTAAATTGTTATGTCAACTTTCTTCTCTAATCATATCCGATGTTGTATACCAAAGATGTATATATTTTCTACACGTCCAGTGGAACCTTTAAAACCCGTCTATGATTTTCCCTTATCAGACTTTTGACTTTAGATCTCCTTAGTTGAACCCAACATTACAAAAAGCTACTTTTGGCAAGTTCCAGAGAGGTCATATAGGTCCTTTTGAAGTGTCCTCTCCAGGTTGAGATTTAGAATCTTCCTTCTTGTTCATGACTTGTTGTATACCTTCTTGATAACCTTCAATAAAGCTTCTGAGAGCATCCCTATAAGCAGAAGCTCTTATCATCTAAACCCATTGCAATGTAGGCCTTAATGTCTCCATTTCCCCATGCAGCAACAACAAGATCCTCTAGGGTCGATGATTCCCTCTTC